CACTCCCCCTCCCCCAATTCTCCATCCCCTTCCCTCCCGGTCTTGGAGGACCCCGTCCTAGCCCGACTGGTTCGTCGTGCAGCCTGCGTGAAGCAGTCGGTGCCACTTCCCGCTCATGTGGGCCCCCGCGGGCTGCCTACGCCTGTGCCCCAGCTCCCGGTTCCGCCGGGCTTTCCCCTCGCTGGGGGTGGCTTTCTGAGCAACCCACTCCGTGCCCCTCTCTGCAGCCTATCCTGCCGCTCGGGGCCCCCGTTCCCCCTCCCGGCGGCGGGGGGCTGCCCCCGGGGGGCTGGCGGAGCTGGGCCGCGGGGGCCCCGGGGCCGGCGGTGCCGGGGTCATCGGGATGATGCGGACGCAGTGTCTGCTGGGGCTGCGCACGTTCGTGGCCTTCGCCGCCAAGCTCTGGAGCTTCTTCATTTACCTTTTGCGGAGGCAGATCCGCACGGTGAGTTTTTGTGAGTGCTGGCAGTGGTAGGGACTCTGTCCGCTGTTTGGAAAGTGTTGGGCCTGTTTTGGGCCTAGGAAGGAAGGCTTGGCGGGGCTTTACTCGCTAGAGAACTAGGGCACCTTTAAGCAAGAGAGGGGGGAGGCGGGGAGACCCTTATAAAGGAACCGAGGTGGGTTTTTTTGTTTTTTGTTTTTTTCCTGACGGCCTAGGTGGGACAAGGTTTGACAGTCTTAGGGGCTAGAATGGTGGGTATTGCTCTTCTTGGTGCTAAAGAAAGCAAGAGGCGGGGAACACCTGTTTGCTAGCAGCCAGAACTGTTGATGTGAACTCAGGAAAGACCCTCCTGTTGGAAGAGCTAGGCTTGTTTGTCAATGGTGGGGGTGGGTAGGAGGGTATATGTTGCTGGAAAAACCTTGTGTGTGAAAGAAACGCTGTTCTAAGGGCACTCCTCCACAAACTCTCTGGAAACTTATTTCTTAGAGAGGGGGTGGAGAATGGATTTATTGAGACCTTGGAAATGAAAAGGGATGCTTTTATGATGGGCATCTTTAGTTGTGAGAGAGAGTACCTTAAAGTTGGGTGGCCTTCTTACAAGATTTGACTGTCAGTTGTAGAGCTTGCATCTAAAGGTGGGTTTGTTTCTCCAGGAGATTCTAGTTATGAAGAGATACCTGGAGAATGGAGACTATTTGGATGTACACAAGCATCTCTGGGTTCTCTCCCCCAAGCTTTTCTCCAAGGTCAAAGCCCTTTCAGCTGACTTCATTGAACGAATATGTCTGTGTATTTTCATCACTGCTGGAATAAGCTTCTGAAGTCAGATTCTGGGGAAAATTGAGTGAGCTGGGTGCTAACAGAGTACATGTCTTTGGCATATCCCTCTAAAGTTTGTAAGAATTAAGCCAAGAATGGGCAGCTTAGATCAAGAGAATTCCCAGAAAGCCCTGCCTGGGTGATACTGGTGGTCGACTTAATTGATTTGAGGGAACAGTCTGGACATGTGTTCATTCTCTACCAGTCTGTTCTATTCCACTACTGGTTTAGTGTGAGAATTATTCTGAGTGGTGGTGGTTATAAGCACAACTAGTTCTCTTAAGAGGTAGAGTCCATAAAAAATTGGGGATGAGAGAGGCTAAGACTGTGTGGGTCTAGCTCCTATGATTTTATGTGTGGACTGCTTTCTGACCTTGTGACAATATCCCCCACCCCTTACTTCCCAACTCCCCCATCTCCTACTTGCCCTGATACACCAGTTTTCTGAGGACAAGGAGTAGTGCTCCAGCCATCTATTGGAAGGTTAGTTACCTCCTAACTTGCTCTCCTTTGTGCCTCACTGACCCCACAAGCCTTTTGTCCTCTCTTCCCTTCCAGTCTGGTTTCTAACCCCACGCCCTTTCTGGCAGATACTTGGAGCATTCCCTACATGCCCAGCATGTGCAACCTGAGATAGCAGAGCAGGACACCCGAGCTGTTTCAGCTCTCATCACAGGCCCAGGGAGAAAAGAAGGGCAGATGTCTTGGGATTAAAGAGGAGAGGGCCTTTGGGTTTGCAAGTAGAGAATTGTGTGGCTTAGGGCCTGGGACTGGAGTAAAGAACATTTGTATTTTAGAAAAGAGCAGAGGGACTTGCCAGGCTCTGCATAGAAGATATGGGTATTAGGAAATAGCCTGTAAAGAAGCCTTGGAGAAGCAGAGCGGAAAAGCTTTAGGTGGTGATGTCCTGTCCTTTCTTTACCTCTCTCTCACAGCCCTTACTTTGAGTTGACCTTTGCCATACCCTGTCAGCCTGGCAAGTGGGGCTTTCCAATGTTCTTTATCTTATTCTGGGCACCAGGATAAAGAGGATCTTCAGAGATTCAGTGCAACTTGTGACTTGGCTAGTAGAAACACAAGTGGACAGGTGGCTGGTTAAAATAGGCATAGTGGCCCCTAGCCAGAGGAACTTAGCTGACCTGACAACCCCTGGATTCCCTCGTCTTTTAGTCCCCTTAGAGATCCAAGGACTTCCTCTCCTGGTTCCTACTCCTTGTCCACTAAGAGCTTGAGGCTCTTGGTTTCCAGTAAGAGATGACAGGAGTGGCCATAAAGAATCCTTGAGGTGAAAGTGTGTTTCTTTGTTTAGTATGGCAGGATAACATCATTTGAGGGCATATTCTACTAAAATTAACTTATTACCCTTGGTACGGTGTTTGAGGCACTGGAAAAATAGGCATGATTGAGAGGAAAGTCTTCTCATGGAGTCATCATTCCATGAGATAAGTAGGGAGATGAATCCAGCTGTGCAGTCTCAGGCAGCCCTAAGTTTCACCATCCTTTAAGCAGGGATAATAACAATGTTATTAGGATTTTTTTTGTTTTTATGATGCTGGGATTTGAACCCAGGGCCTCTTCTTGTATGCTGGACAAGTGTTCTACCATTGAGCTTTACCCCTGTCTCCATTGGAATTGTTTAAGGATTAAATAAGGTCCTAAGCCAGGTGTGGTGATGCACGTCTTTAATCCCAGCACTTGGGAGGTAGAGGCAGGTGGGATCTCTGTCTAAATTCAAGACCAGCTTGGTCTACATAGAGAGTTCTAGGCTAGCTGGAACTATAGGGAGATCCTGTCCCAAAAAGACAAAAAAAAAAAAAAAAAAAAAGAATGTCCAAATCCATACATACAATACCTACCTAATACCTGGCACATGGTAAATGTTCAGTATTTGCTGTCATTACTGAGGAAGATTTCATTGTAAGTGGTTCTAATTCTTTCTCACTATTCTTAGGTAATTCAATATCAAACTGTTCGATATGATGTCCTTCCCTTATCTCCTTTGTCCCGGAATCGACTAGGTGAGTATGCTGGATGGGAAGACACCTGGAAGGTAAAGTAGGGTTCCAGCTCTGGACTAGAGGTCAGTTGGTGTTATCCCTTTCCATTGTGGTTCAGCCCAGGTGAAGAGGAAGATCCTGGTGCTGGATCTGGATGAAACGCTTATTCACTCCCACCATGATGGAGTCCTAAGGCCTACAGTGAGACCTGGAACACCTCCTGACTTCATCCTCAAGGTGTGTGGAGATTATGAAATCCTTCTATTTATTACTATGCCCAGACCTAGACTCCCTTTCCCAGGTGTAAGTGTTGGAAAGCCTTGGCACCAGGGTTAGGCAGAAGGAGAAAAGCAGGTGGTAGGCATAGGGTGGGGTGGGATATCCTTTAGGACTGTTGGTAGTGCTTAGGACTCACAGTTCTTCCTTGTTCCTCTATAGGTGGTAATAGACAAACATCCTGTCCGGTTTTTTGTACATAAGAGACCCCATGTGGATTTCTTCTTAGAAGTGGTGAGTGTGCATGAACCAATGAGAGCACTCTCAAATGAAAGAGTGATTGTAGGGCTCTGGAAATTTCAGGGGTTGGAAAGCGTGAGAATGGGTATGGGGCAGTTTTGTATAGTAGAGGCTTGCAGGAGGTAAGGGCATGGCTTTCAGTTTCTGGGGTTCATTTGTTATATTGATATAATTCTATTCTACAGACATTCTGCACTTTTGTGTTTGCATCTCTGAATCTTAAAGATATTTGCTACCTCAGATATTGAGTTTGGAAGTTGGGTGGGGGGTAGTTAAAGTTTTTGTCTTCATAGATGTTACTCAAAGGCCTAAAAGACTGGGCTGAAAAAGAAGTTATGTTTTAATGAATGATTACCTTGTATGATGCCTGTCTTCCTCTTAAATCTATTTCAGGTAAGCCAGTGGTATGAGCTGGTGGTATTTACAGCAAGCATGGAGATTTACGGCTCTGCTGTGGCAGATAAACTGGACAATAGCAGAAGCATTCTGAAGAGGAGATACTACAGACAGGTAAGGAGCTAGAATCAGGCTTGAGAGGAAGGCTTCCAGGGAGGTGTCTAGATGCCAGGCAATTGGACAGAAGAGGTGTACTACATAACTCCCTGCTTTTCAGCACTGTACTTTGGAGTTGGGCAGCTACATCAAGGACCTCTCTGTGGTACATAGTGACCTCTCCAGCATTGTGATCCTGGATAACTCCCCGGGGGCTTATAGGAGCCATCCAGGTATGAGATGGTGGTGAGTCTGGGAGGACCAGGATATGGTTCTGGGGACATTTTAGTTTTGTCTTTATTTCTGAGATAGGGTCTCCTTATATAGCTCAGGCTAGCCTGATTCTTGTTTTGGTGGTGCTAGGGATGGAACCCAGGGCTTCATACTAGATCTGAGCTATGCTCTTAACCCCTTGAGGGGTTAAATGCAGGGAACTAGAAGGCAGGAGACCGACCTGGGCCTTGGTCCTAGAGAGCTTGGATTCCCTGCTGTACTATAGATCTGAAGGCAAGTTGTTTATTTCAAATGAGATACTCATTTTCATGTATTCATTTCATAAATGGGATTTCCCAGTTAAAATTCACTTTGAGGCACACTGACAGTAAGTTTGACTGGAACTAACCCCACAGTATATAGTAATGTTTAGTTTTACATTTGAAATCAGGGGTATATTTATGTTGTTGACTTCTGGTGGGTAAAGTATGGATTTTTAAGTAATAATTTTCAGGAAAACTCTACAGGCTCTCTTGAATTCTTTTCTTTTTCTCAACTGCAATTTCACTCACCCTAGACAATGCCATTCCTATCAAATCCTGGTTCAGTGACCCCAGCGACACAGCCCTTCTCAACCTTCTCCCAATGCTGGATGCCCTCAGGTAAGGGAAGTTGTTGAGAGGCACTTGGAGTTCCTTTTTTATTTTTGACAAACTCTTGCTATGTAGCCCATGAGGGCCTTAGATTTGCTTCCTGCCTCAGCCTGCCAAGTGCTGGGAGTATAGGTATACACCATCATGCCTGGCAACAGGATGATTTCTGAGGAAAAGAGGTGGGATAATCCCAAGAGAATTTTTTAGAATGTCGGGTTTGGCTTATCTGTCTTAAGAACTTAAATGTTTGAGCCAGACTTCTTATTCCAGAGCTCTTTTTTCAGCCATTTGGTTTTGGTCAAATTGTACCTGTCTCATTATGTGAAAGTGGAAATAAACTGTGTCCTGACCTCTCCAGTGAGGTTGCAATGGGCTAGTGTTACGAGGATGTCAACCACAGGGTCCTCCACCAATGCAAGTTACTGTCATTCCAGGTTCACTGCTGATGTCCGATCTGTGCTGAGCCGAAATCTTCACCAACATAGGCTCTGGTGACAGCTGCTCCCCCTCCACCTGAGCTAGGGTGGGGGGGAAAAGGAGAGAGAGTTCTTGGGATGCCATCTGTTGCCCTGTCCAATGTGAGGACTGCCTTGGCAGGGCCTGCCCCCCCCCCCTGCCCTGGGAGCCCTACACTTCACTCCTGGAGTCTGGATGGACACATGGGCCAGACTGTGAAAGCAGCCTCACTCTAACTTCATGTTCACACTCCATGGAAACGCCGGACTGGGACAGGCGGAGGCCTTGGAGAGCTGAGTGTCTGGAGAGGCAAGACTGGCCAGAGTGACAGATAGACATAACGGTCATCCCACAGGCTCAAAGAGAAGCCAAGTCAGCTTTGTTGTGATTTGATTTTTTTAAAAACTCTTGTACAAAACTGATCTAATTCTTCACTCCTGCTCCAAGGGCTGGGCTGTGGTTGGGAGATTGGGATTTTGGGCCATTGGATCTTCCCCAAACTTTTCCTTCCCTTTTCCTCAATTTTTCTTTCCCCATATTCCCTGATACCTGTAATCAACTTTCTCTTTTCTCCTTTTCTCTCTTTTAAACCATGCATTATAACTTTGAAACTAAAGCTGCGCTAGGTCCTTGTCTGGGTTTTTGGGAAGTGGAAGGGCTTTATTCACAACCACCCTGTCCCTAAAGCAGATGGGGAAAAGTGCTGGTGTGAGGGGAGAGGTGGGGACCATTATGTGGGAGAGAGAAATTTCGGTCACTATGGATGGCAGGAAGGGCACCAGTGACAGAATGGAGACCTGGGGGGGGGGGGCAGGGGAGCAGCTTCAGAGTAGGCTATAGAAGGATGAAAAGAGAAACCTGGATTCCCCAAAGAGCATACAGCTGGAGAAAGGCCCAGCTTCTGTCTGTGAGGTTGACGTGGACAGACTTTAACGGGCCCTGCCTATGGGCTGTTGGCACCCAAGTTCTAAGCTGCTGCGGGCGGAGCCTCACGTCCTGGCTTGCACTTCCTCCCGAGCCGGTTCTACTTCCTCCAACCCGCCACGTGATGCTCCGCCCTCCTCTGAGGTCGCATGATTTCTTCTTCATCTCGGCCGTGTCCCTCCGCGCTGGAGTAGTCCCTATCATTTAGACCTCTGCCGTTCTTTTGGTCCACCCATCCGCTAGCTCTGCGCGTTCTTTGCGTGTATACAAACCTCTCTTTTCTTGCTGTACTCTTAGTTCTGTAATCCGTGTCCGCTTGTTGTGTACTACTTTGTCTTGTGGTCAAACAGCCATCTGACGTACCAACACGTTTCGTGAATAGCTAGCCTCGTAGTGCTGCTTTCCCCAACGTAACTTCCGAAAAGGGCTAGAGAACCAAATCTCATGGTTGCCACCTGCTACCCCCCCCCCCCACCTTCCCCGCACTTTCGTAGTGCCTGTTATCGGGAAAGCGTTTTCAGTTAACTTTCAACGACAGCAGAAGCCAATCACCTCGGCTACGTCACCTGCGTAGTCCACAAATTGATTCCAAAGCTACTACGCAGACGGCGAGAACTGGGCGCACTGCGGGAGGCGCTACGCTGGAGGCGTTCGCGCGCTGCGGTAATGGCGTACTTCAGCAGGCGGGGCCTCCCGGGAGCGCCGGGGCGGGGTTGGTGAATAGGGAAGTGGCGCAAACGGGTGGATCGCTCCGCAGAGTGTTCGCGTCGAAGCTGCCGCCGCCGCCCCCTGTCCCGACCCCCCCTCCCCTGGGTTCCCTCAGCCCAGCTCGGTCCAGCCCGGTTCCCGGGAGAATGAAGTTCGTTTATAAGGAAGAGCATCCGTTCGAGAAGCGCCGCTCTGAGGGCGAGAAGATCCGGAAGAAATACCCGGACAGGGTCCCGGTAAGGACAGCCAGGGCCGAGGTGCCGAGTGCTGACGCGGTCGCCAGAGCTAGGCTTGGGTATGGGACAGGCAAAGTGGAGGCGGGCTCCCCGTCCGCGGTGGGTTTAGGAGTCCGAAACTTGTTCCTGGTCCAGGATTGAGGGGATTGTAGTCGAAGTAGGTTTGTTAGGAACATGGAGTGGACTGGAGAGAGAAACCGTGGCATTGTCAGAATGGAGGCCCTTGGGTGTTTGACAGCCTGAGCTTCATTCACATGGCCAATAGGAAGGTTTTCGCGATTGAGGCTAGAGTTCGATCCAGACAAATTCATCCTATTTCTACGAAGATGGTAGTTATTGTGACGCGCTGTTCTGGGATCATGCTTTGATACTTAGGTGAGCCAGTGAGGTCAGGATCTCTGGACTGGCTGCATGCACCACATACAAGGACAAAGAGAAAGGAGATCGGGGTAACTAAGGAAGTGGGACTACTGTAGCTTGAGTTCGTCACAGATGGAGCTATAGGCTGTGTTCCTTGTGTCTCTTAATTTTTATCTTTTTATTAGGTGATAGTAGAAAAGGCTCCCAAAGCTCGGATAGGAGACCTAGACAAAAAGAAATACTTGGTGCCTTCTGATCTCACAGGTGGGACTGACCCAAGACCTGGGTTTCCTTCTGTGGGTGGGGAATGCCGTCTCTGGGAGGAGGCTCCACCTCACCTTGTAGCTGTTTTCTGTAAGCATTGATGTCCCCTGTGACTTTCTTGCACCTCATGTTTTTGGCAGTTGGTCAATTCTACTTCTTGATCCGGAAGCGAATTCATCTCCGAGCTGAGGATGCCTTATTTTTCTTTGTCAACAATGTCATTCCACCCACCAGTGCCACGATGGGCCAGCTGTACCAGGTATGGCACCTTAGAAGTAATGGGAGTGTTTGGAGAGGAGTTTTGGGACAGTTTGAAGGGAAGAAAGTGAAGGCCATCAGTGGACTAGCTGGCAGTGGGGGAGAGTAAATTGGAGGAGCTGCTCTGATGGGGGCACTGCTACTGAGGGCTCTTAGCCATTCCAAGAAAAGAGTTTGAGGTGCTTTTGTGTTTTTTGTTTGTTTTTGCACAGGATTGCTGCAGGAATGATACTGCTTGACTACTAGGGTTTGGAGTGATTGAGGCAATCTAACAGGCACTTTAAAAAGAATGATATGTTGGGTGTGGTGGCTCACATCAGTGAACTCAGCACTTGGGAGGCTGAGGCAGGAAGATTGACTTGAGTCCCAGGACAGCCTAGGCTACAGTTTAAGTCCTTGATCTCAAAAACCAAAACAACCTGGCTTACCACTCAGGCTTACTCAGGAGGCAGAGGCTTGATCCATACAGTGAGACCCTGTCTGAAAACACATCATGAAAAATTAAAAACAAGCCACCAGGTGTGGTGGCATATACCTTTATTCCCAGGCAGAGGCAGGCGGATCTTTGTGAGTTCAAGGCCAGCTGGGACTACAGGAGACTCTGTCTCAAAAAAGACGAAAAAAATAAATAAAAGTTCCTCTTTTTCCCTTCAGTACTAGGAATTTTACCCAGTGCCGTAGACATACTAGGTAGACACCCTTCCACTGAAGATCTCTATCTTCAATCCTTTGTTTTGAGACAGAATCTTACTAAGTTGCCTAGACTGTCCTCTTTACTTTCAATCCTTTCCAGTAGCTGGAACTACAGGCCTGTACAACCAGGCCATTCTTAAAAGAATGGTTCTTGAAGAATGTTTGGATGGTAGATAGTTCAAGTAACTGAATCCCAATTGTCTTAACATACTTTTCTGCTTTCACTCCAGGAACACCACGAAGAAGACTTCTTTCTATACATTGCCTACAGTGATGAAAGTGTCTACGGTCTGTGCAGCTGCTGTCCCTGAGGTGGGGCGTTCCATTCTACAAAGAGAGGTGGTGCTCCTTCCTTGACTTCCACCTCCTCCAGGCTCAAACACCATCTCCCTTCTTCAGGACCTTCACTTAATGTTTGAGGCTCTTTCCAGCCCCTCTTAGCAAGAGGGGTAGTAGGAGACATGGCTTCTCATACCTCTCCTTTCTCACCTTGGCTCTCCATTCCCTTTCTGCTTTAGACTTCTCGATTGTCAGTCTCCGTCACATCCAATGATTGTTTTGGTTTCTATTTCCTAACTGCTTAAGGGGCTCAGAACCACAACAGTCCCTTTCACTACCTTCTTTTTGGGGGATAGATGGAAGGGACTGAAATTGTGGGGGAAGGTAGGAGGCAACATCAATAAAGAGGAAACCACCAAGCTGAATTGAAATTTGCCTTGTGTCATTTCATTCCCTCCTTTATTTTATTTTTTCATTTTCAAGTGTCATGGACTTCACTAGTGATGAAAGAGAAGGAATTGGGGTCACAGGTTGGAGAAATACAGATTTTTTTGTTAATGTTGGTATTCCTCGCTCTGTAAAAGGGTTGTGTGAATGGAATAATCTGAGCGTTGGTTTGTGAAACTTTTAATTTTATGTATATGTACATTAGGTTGTGATACTAATTTTTTTTTACTGTGGGTCCGTATGAAGAAAGTTTGAAAGTACCATGTTTAGGTAAGCATATCCAAATTTGTTACTTGGGATTAAAGAAATGATCATGTTTGGGAGGTGGTAAAAGGACTGTCCTTAAGTGAATGTCAGTTGCTGAGTTTGTGTTGGTATGTGGGATCCTGTGGCGTAGAATTCGAGAGAGGGAGACTACTGGGAGAAAGAAGCCATTATCACCAGGAGAACTTCATCTCCCGGCAACCATTTCTCCTCTTGGCTCGAAGTGGGGCGGTTCCCTGGGCGCAAAAAAGGCGGGGTAGAATGATGCAGTATGGTGGCCGAGAGTGATAGAGCGCTCTTCCTTTACTTTTTTAGCCCCACCTAGCCTACATTTCCCAGGAGTCTGTACGCGCTCTTCCGCTCTGCCTTCTGGCTGCTGATCGCTCCGCCACTCCCGGGCGGGGGAAGGGCGTGACTTACCGCGCCTGCGCCAATCGAAGACTTACTGGGAACTGAAGTTCCGGAGAGTCTTGCGCTCCCCTTTCCGCCGCCCCCGAACAGACTACAAACCCCTTGGTGCACTGCGCGGCGGAGCCGGCGGGGAGGGGTGGGGGAGAAGGGAGGGAGGAGAGTGGAGGGAGGAGGAGGAGGAGAAGAAGAAGGAGGAGGGAGCAGGCGGCCGGCGGCACGGGGGGAGGGGGCCCGGTCCGGGAGTGCGGGAGGCTGTGGAGAGGGAGGTGGCGGTAGCGGGTAGCGGACTGTAGTCTCCACCGGGCCAAAGCGGACACTTCGGGGGAGCGAGGCAGTAGGAGCACCGAGCACCAGAGGCGGCACCGGGATCCCCGGCTCAGGGAGGCGGGGGGGTGGGGGGGGTCGCCGGACCGAGTGGAGGGGAGGGGGCGATGCTGGAAGCCATGGCGGAGCCCAGTCCCGAAGGTAAGCTCTCCACCGGCACGGAGGGGCAGGGGCGGGTGAGGATTCAATTGGCAAACTTGGAGCTCGAACCCCGGCGCCCAGCGGGGGAGTGCGGGAAAAGGGGTTGGGGGCCTGGTTCTCGAGGTGGAAGAGCAGCGAGTTGAGAAACCTTGGAGAAAGAGGAGTGGGAGCCCGGGCTGGGGGAGTTGGAGATCAGATGCCCTGTGGATAGTCGGGGGGAGGTGTCTGGGGATAGGCACTGGGAAGTCCAAGCTTCGCGGGCTAGGGACTTGAAAAGGCCTCGGACTGGCTGGGGCCCCGAAGCGGAGAGGTCCGGGGAGTCTGCGTGCCCGAGAGTACTTGGGGGAGCGCGAAGAGGACCGAGTGAGGGAGGGCCCGGTAGTTGGCTGAGCTGGGGGAGTTTGCGGCGGTGGCGCCGGAGCTCCTAGTAGTTGCCGCCAGGGATATCTCGGTGATTGTTGAGGGGTGGGCAGGTAGTTGGGAGAAAGGGGGCCCGGGTATTGTCTGTAGGAGAGAGCCCTGAACCGAGGGGCAGTTGTGCGGCGAGAGAGCTGGGCCAGCCGGGTAGTTGGAGGGCGGCGAGGGGCGGTGGGGGTTAAGACCGGCAACTTGCAGTGTGTGTGTGTGTGTGTGTGTGTGTGTGTGTGGAGTGGGGGGGGGTTGGTCGGCGAGGGCTAGAGCC